TCTTGGGAATAATTTCTGATGAAGTTTCGCTTATGTTTGTTTCTAGAGAAGGACAGAGGATATAGAGACCATTCTCAAGTTCTCCGTAAGTAAGGAATTTGTTATTCAATTTAATAGTAATCATATCACTAAATAGAATAAAATAACTATCCTTGCAAAGTTTTGAAACAGAAATCAAATTTCTTCTAAGTGAGGATACATAAAGACAATCTTTATGTCTCACAGTTCCTATGGTTGTAGCTGCAACGGTTGCAGAAGTTCCCAAGTAAAGGATCACCCCGTCGTCACTCAGCCTTCTACTTTCTTTGAACCCCTACAATGTGTTACATGCATGGATAGAAGCCTTGGAGTCAATACACCAGGATGTAGAACTGACCAGCATATTGGTCTCTATGACAAGAGATTCAAAAATACATTCTTTATTCTTGGATTCCAGATATTAAGGACAGTTCATCTTCTAGTGTCTGGTCTATTTGCAGCGGTAACAGGCATCCAATGCTTTATCTTTCTTCTACTTTTTCAACTTGCATGCTTTCTTCTGAGGCCTCTTCTTGCCCTTCCTCTTTCTTTTGCCTAATTTGCCACCTTCAACAAGCATGGCTATCGAATTGTTCTTAATCAGTTCTTCGCCCCTCTACAACATATTGCTGAGTTCCTAAAGGCTAACCTTTAGCTTGTTCATGTTGTAGTTCATGATAAATTGATTGAAGGAGGGAGGCAGAGAGTTAAGGATGGCATCAGTTTTAGTGTCTTCATCGAGCTAAGAACCAAGAGCCTCTAGTTCGTTAATGTGTCCCATCATTTTCATGGTGTGGTCATGTACCTGTTGGCTCTCGGTCATCTGTGTGATCATCAACAACTTGAGGACCTTTTGATGAGTAGAACGATTCTGTTCCTCGTACATCATCTTTAGACTATCTAGAATGTCTTTTGATACTTCAATCTTATCAAACTATCTCTCGATCTGATTGTCCAAAGATGTTATGGTGAAGCACCAGACAAGAGTAGATGTTAGTCCACGACCTAGAATTGATTCATGTTATCTAACATAGAATGGTCTTCTATCTATGCTCCATCTCCATTTGTTCATCTTTGAGATTTCCCTCCTATCTCAGTGATGGAGACACGGTGCAAGTCTTTGGAAATGTGGGAAATCACATAGGTGCATGGAACCAACTGTTTCAGCTGCAAAACCCCACCACTTTCTATGAAGGATCATATCCACCCATCCAATGAGCTTTCCCTTTGGCCTATATTAGACAAGGTTCATTGCCATTTTAGGTTAAACCTTTCTGTCTAGTAAGTACTGACCTGTCATATTGTGGACACCAAGGTACCATGAAAGAGTCTTTCATTTTAGGATAGGCCTCTCCCACATCGATCTATGATGCCCTTATCATCTTATGAAGAAATCTGACTAACTGGACTAGCAAATGGGTAGCCCAATTTTATGGTGCATCTCCACCCACCGAGTCAGCCCGCCTTCATGCTAACGACGAAAAGCTTTTAGAGAATTCATCATATGATATTCCTTATTGCTTGCACTTATATTAATCTAGAGGGAATGAGTTGAAACAGTCCCTATGTCTGGTTTAGGTCATACCAAAGTGACTCCCACTGACTTTCATAAAGTCAGATTCACATGGGCCCAAAACGAACTAGGGTTTTGCGAGGTTCCTCTTGGAGAGAAACTGGTCAGGGGCCCATTGAAAAGGGAGATAATCCAATGATCTGTAGAAATCATGGCAATGATGTGCATTCAACCATGGTTTTCGCAGAGAGCCACATACAATTAAACATAGGCTAAGCACTTATGGCCCATGTACGAATCACATTCAGCACATCACAAGCATTCACATAAACAAAAATTGATCCAATCAATCAGAAGCTTGTAAAACCCTAATTAATTTAAGTTAACACACAATCAGCCCATTAAGGCCCATGAATTATCAAATAATATCATCTAGGTATATGGGATAAACTACAAAATGCAGTTCGGCCCATGTAGCAGTTATATTAAAAATGGGTTGATGTTGCTTTAACTTAGAAAAATTAGGTTTTTTAAGAGTGGGCCAAATTGTATCATGTGATGGGCCATCAAACCCTTGGTCCATAACCAAATTTGAGCCACCTAAAACATGACCCATGGGGCTAAGATCAGACACCATCAAACCATGGGTTTGGTCCAACCAGTTTAGGCCAAACTAGGTCAATTCGGCCTAGGGTTTGGTGTCCAAAACATGTTACAATTCTCAAGATTTTGATCTGAAATTATTAATAGTTAAGTAATGACAATCAATCACAGTAAAAAACACATAATCTAGAGCTGCAAGTGTGATGGTCCGAATCTGATCCGAACAAACTACAAACTTGCAAGAAACTACTAATCGTAGATTGCAGAATTTTTTTGCAAAATCTCTTCTTCTCTTTCGCGCGCTCCAGCATGTCTTCCAATTTAAAAAAAAAAGAAAACCCTAATTTTCTATTAATTACATTAGAATAAATCCTAATACATTTTGTCTAAAATAAAAGAAAATTATTTACATACCAAAATCAAATGAATAAATCGTAGGGTGCGCAAATTTTGGTGCCAATAAAGAATTCGATCTCAACAACACCAACAACCCAAAAATTCAAGAAATAATAATAGAACAATTTTAAAATTGTTACAGAAAAAAAAATAAAAATAATATCAGATCAAATCGCCCAAAAACTGAGAACCGACTTCTCATTATATTGCAAACTGTGCATATCGAGTAGAGCAGTTCTACCGATTTCAACTTAATTTCAGATCTGATTTAATAATTTCGGTTAAAGATTGAACCTTTGGCTCTAATACCATTGAAGGAAGGGGAAATCCATCATATGGATGGCCAAACCATGCTGGATGGTAGGGCAAAATTTCAAAAATTTCTTTTTATCCTTTTGGGAATCGTATTCCTAATTTTAGAAAAACTGCATTTTTCAAGGATCGTTCTTGTACCGAAGTAGACCAGAGTGGGTGTTCACACCCAAAGAGGGTACCAAAACCAGCTTCCAGTGATGATGGCACAACTTAAGGTGAAACTGGTTCAGCAACGCAGTCCTTCAGCAAGAACTGCAATCCAACAACTTGGATCGAGCAAGGGAGATGAGCACGAAATTAATCTGATTTTTCTTGCAAAATCAGAAGTGGGAACTGATCTCTATCAGTCCAAGAACTGGAGAATGAACTGGATTTGGGCAAAAGAGCAGAGGGAGAAAACTGAGAGCAGAAAGGTGTGATCTCTGGAGCAGCTCGCCCTCCTCTATTTATAAGCTATAAAGATTAGCTCTCCTAATCCAATTAGGAGCTTTCTAATCCAAATCTTTATTTGGATATGGACTCTTTAAGTGGATAAGAGTTATCTTCTTATCCTATTGTGATCTAAGCCCATATCCATACCTTTATTCGCCCATGTCAAATGACTGCTTTAAGCTGTCATGTGACACCCTAATTAATCTAATTAATCATGGGCCTTAGGCCCATTAAGCAAGTGGCTCATGACCCCTTTTAATTTGCTGGCTAATTTGGCTCTCTTTGTCTCTTTGTATGGTACGGGACCCCAATAATGACTTCACATAAGACCATATGGGTTCAGCCCAACTTCTGTGAAAAAAGCATGGCTGAATTCACTGTCAAGCACAATGAATCCCTGAGTCCATCAATATGGGCTCTTAATGGGCCCAACGATTACAATAAATGGTCATTGAGTCCAGCCATCCTATGAAGGCCCAAGGACAATGGTCTTAGGTGAAATTAGCCCATCAGGTATAACAGTCCTAAATGGTCTTACACTTAACCTCTCAGCCTTTAATGATCAAACACTACCCGACAAAGGAGGACCTCTCCCCTGGTTGCAAGGTGTAGTGTTGCAATCCCTGCTCAGGTGGATCCTGCGAATTAAAACCTTTTGTAAACTTTTTTTTTAAAAACATAATATATATATATATATAATATATATCTTCATATAAATATATTTTGCAAAATAAATCTCAAACAAATTTGAAATCAACTATCCGCAGTTTTGGTTTCCATCAAAGAGAGCGTAGTCCCGATCATTCACTTTGTCCGACAAAGGGGCTGATCCTGTCACTATGATCACCCACTCGAGTGAATTCTTATATTATCCCAACATACCCAAATTTTGACCCCCAAAGGATGTCACTGATTGGCATATCAAAGACAGCCCAATCCGATACCCAAGCTACTTGGCAACAAATTAGTGTCAGTCTTGGCATGATAAATTTCCCCAAGTCTATCCAACGATTGAGAACATTCTAAAGTAACACGAGTCTCAAAAGTGTCCAGTTTAAGGGTACCAAACCTTCATACTCTCCTCTTTCTATCTAACGAGTATAAATAAAATCTCATTTAAAAACCAAAAACAAGTCTTATAATTTTCCAATGTGGGACAAATTAAAAACTGGTTTTAATAAGAGAAAAAACTATTTTTCAAGACATGTATGTAAATGTGTTTTTCATTTAATTGATCAGTCAAAGCCATTGTGTTTAATGTCTAATGAAATTATAATCCAATACAAAGCAATCAACGTTGAAAAGCAGACTCTTAACTCAAGACATCATTATATAGGCACATGAACTAAAAGCTGCGTGTGTTTCCTTAATTTGGTAGCAAATTTGGGAAAGATTTTCACAAATTAATTTCCTTGAGAGCATTAATTCCATCAAATTTCTGTTTATCCCTAATTAGTTTCTGCCAAATTAACCAATCATGTCCTAACTTAAGTGGGTCGTATCAAACATGCATGGACCATCCAGGCCGAGCATATTGATACTTTCAAAAACATTCTATTGACGATTGGCACAATTAATTATATGAAATCAAATCTATTCAAATCAGTACTGCATGCATATATATAATTTTTCCATCTCTTATTCTCCAACAACATAAACTTATAATAGCCACCATATCCAGAACCTATATATGATTTTATACTTCCTTAATATAAATAAGCATCTATGTTGCAAGCTGAACAGAGCACTCAGGCTTAGTCCTCGAAGGATCAGTGCAGTAGTCATAAATCAGGTAATTCTTCCGAACCCATTCCAACTTCTTCCATTCGCCTGCATCAAGTGTATGGCTCATCCATGGCGGGCTAGGTTTGGTGCACTTTGTTGATTGACCTTGTCCAGACCATACGCAGGCATTAACGCTGTAGTCACGATAATAGGTCACAAAGGGAGCTTTACTCCAGTCAATTTTGATTGCCCCACCTTCAGTGGCCCAATCACTTCCATCCCAGATAGTACCGTAGAGTGTCATGGGCTGCTGTTTTGGAAAAGGAACCGTTGCCCCAGTTTTGTAGACTCTAATGGGTACTTGGTCAACGTAAAATCTTCAGAACAAATAACACAACAAATGCCATGAATTATTACATTTCGTCTATATATATATAATCTGTACGCACACAAAATGTTTACTTACATTATTTGATGGGGGTTCCATAAGATTGAGTAAGTATGGAAGTCAGCAGTCGGATCGAACCAGAGATGAATTCTTTGCTCCCTGGAACCAACGTTCTTTACGAAAACGTTGGTATGAAGAATGTAGTGGCTGGGGTCAGTGTGGCCCAAGAACTCAAAGTCAATCTCGTCGTGCCATTTACCCAGACTTGAGTTGAGCTATACATGCATTAGGCAAAAGAAAAGACACAATTATTTGTTTATTATGGGATCTAAAAGCTTATCATGCACCAAGTAGTTTTAATTTGCCTAGTAAATCAAAACAGAAACTATTGATCGGAATTGAATTTGGCTGTGTTTGGTTGGTTTGATAGAAAGTAGGAGAAGTTGTACATAGAATGTCCATCTATCTATCTCTTGATTTCTATCAAACTCAACATATATAGGCTTGGAGATTTTAAGGATGAGATGAGAAGTTGTACATAGAATGTCGTAACAGTGCCAGCAGACATCCCAGGAACGAGCTTCATTCTAATGTCGAATTTTCCAAAGATGAACGCCTTTTTGGATTGAAACCCCGAACCGCAGGATTTATCCATCAAGAGACTAAGTTGTCGACCATCAGAAGAGACATTCATGTGGTGGGGGCAAAACAGAGCACCTGTATCAGAGTGGAAATTGGCCATACATACGGAAAATGACAAAGGAAAAAGGAGAAACAAAAGGAGATGAACCACTGGTTTTAACGGAATAGCCATGTTTTTTGATACATGTATTTACGTTGGCAAGATCAAGGCTGTTGACGAGTGAGTTCTTCTGTTACGCGAGTCCTGTACTTATAGAGAGCTAAGGTAGTGGCGCTTTTATCATAACAAATTGACGACATTAATTTAGTAAGCCACCTAGGAATGACTGACGTTACTATTTTCCCATTTTTCCATCCAAATAAATTAAATTAGATAACAAATTATCGAGAGATGAGGCAAATTAAGTCGGAACAATTAATGTTGTTTTATTCTTCTAGAAACTAAAATTATTTCAACAAACAGTGCAAATTTTATCATATAAAGCCTGAACAATTATTTATACTCCCTCTAATCTAGTATTTGTCATGCAGGGGAATAACCAAAACCTGAAAGCTCATAACCACACATAAAACTGCACAAGAGTTGAAAACCACCTTTAACCCAAATACTTAAACTAGATTTCGGGCCAATCGTTATATTTGTCCTTTGCAACTTTTATCATATTATTGGGCTACACCATGTTTTCAGTGTTGTATGAACATTTGAGCTAGTTAGGCCCAGTGGAACTTATCAACTTTTGATAGCATAGGCCAGATCTTCATAGCGCTAAAATTCTTTAAATTGGGCAACCCAGTTTGCAATCCTATTTCCAAATCCAACTCAACAATTTTAAAATATATAGGAAACATTAAATTATAAAAACAATGGCTCTTCAACTTATAAAATAATTTTGTAATTGTGAAACATAGAACTCGTTAATTATAAATTTCATATAATTGTATATTACTCATTTATGTATATATAATTATGAATATATTTTATAAAATTTAAACCTACTTGGATCTTAATTAGATTAAATAGGTTTATTCAACATCCAATCCCATTATTAGTTAAATGGATGTATCTTTTAAAATCCGAATTTGATTTTATTATATATATAGGAGTAATCATGTGCAGGCTGGGCTGGGGCTTTGATTTGGTATATATATAGAGAGAGAGTAAAATAAATTGTGTAATTTATATAATAGAAATATTATGTATCATTTTATATATAATATTTATATAGTGCAGACCTAGGCCTTAAAAGAAGGTATAGGTCCAAGAGCAAAAATTTCGGGTTTGGACTGGGCTCTAAATAAATCAATAATCGCCCCTTATCACGCACATGAATATGAAATTTCAAATACAAAATAAATGAATGGAATTTTGGATTAGGTGTCCAAGTCCACTGACTGCCGTAATTAAGCTTAGCCCGTGAAGTTTTAATTATATACAGAGGGCAACTTAGTCTCCGATGTGAAGATTTATATTTATATATGCTACTATAAAAAGGGGAACAGCTATCCAAGGCTTTTAAACATTTTCTTAGAGAAAAGGTAGTCTTATTTTTAAATTTGGTCTCTTTATTGTGGGGGCAAAATATGTAATTTTGAAGTACTACTTTTTAAGTTTACTTTATTCTTTTTCATTAAATCATACATTTAATATTAACTCCCTTTTTCATTGAAACCTATATCATTTTCTTTATTGAAACATTAAATTCTTTATTTAAGGCACATTAAATAAATGAGATTTGTGGATTTTTTCTTCACTAAAATATCCATACTTTTGTATTTGGTTTTCTCTCTAATTGTGAGGGCAAAATATGTAATTTGAACTACTAGTTATCACTTTATTCAATCCCCTTCTCACTAAGTGTTATATTTAACCTATTTTTGTTTCTCACCAATAAATTTAATTAATTACATTTATATCCAATAATTTTAATAACATAGAAACTATGTTTCTAAAAGCCTACAGGAAAAAGTAGTTCTTCCTCCATCCTAGTGGCTAGTAAGTTTTTTAACTATCGATATTGTACTATTTTATATAAAAAGCAGCAATAGCTCTCTAAGGGTTCTGCACTTTTACTTTAAGGTAAAATACTGATATATTTGAGGTTTAGCCCCTCCCTATTGTGAAGGTGAAAAATGTAACTTGAATTACTACTTTTTAGTTCATTCTATTCCCTCTCACTAAGTCATATATCTAACATAATTGTCACTTTCTCTTACTAAATCTTGTATCTATGGTATATTAAATAAATGATCTCTGTGGATTTTCTTTTTAATTAATATGCCCATACTTTTGAATTCCTCCCTCACAAAATGTCCAAAATTTAAATTGTTAATTCTCATTCATTCATATTAAATCCTTAAATAAAACACCCCTACTTTTGAATTTTCTCTTGGTAAAAGAAGTGGAATTTAAACTACTATTTTTCACTTCGTTCAATTCCTTCTCATTTATTCTCATTAAATCCTATATTTAAGGTATTTTTGTTACTTACCAAAAACTTTGCCAATTAAATCTATATCCATATTTGTATTTGGATATATTTGTACCTTACATATTAACTCCCATTTCCTCTCATTAAATCCTATATTTATGATATACTAAATAAATGGGCTTTTTAGATATTTCTTGACTGAAACAACCCTACTTTTGAACATTGTACCCCTCTAATTGTAAGGGCAAAAATTGTAATTTGAACTACAACTTTTCACTTCATTTAGTTCCATATCACTAAGTCCTAGGGGTGATCATGAGTCATTTCGGTTCAGTTCCATGGAAGAACCTGGAACTTACCCTATAGGGGTCGATTCCAGGTTTTTGGAATTGGAACCAACCTTATGAAGGTCAATTCTAGGGTCGATTCTAGCCTTGGCAGTTCTGGGGTTGGTTTCAAGGTCTACCCGTGGAACCTATTATTTTTTTACTCTCTCCCTTTAAAAAAAAATGAAATGTGTCCTTTAAAAACTTGATTTTCAATAATGATAATATATAGTATAAAACTTATATTATCTTTATTAATTCAATTGAGTAATTTATTATGTAGATTATCATAATATATTAATATATGGTTCAAAATTTGTCATTATACTTTAAATTTTATAAATATTACCTTGTATAATATTTATTATATACATTCAAATTTTATAATTAAAAAAAAATGATCAAATAACTTAAGTTACTCAATGGTCAAGTGAGACCATGGATTTTGTAACCATGAGTGCTTGGGTTCAAATCTTCATATCCGTAAAAATATTTTGGGATTTATTTCAAGGTAAGTTCAGTTCCAAGGTCGGTTCTACCAAGGCCAACCAAGGCTAGCTCAATAGGTCGGTTCGGGTAAGGTAAACCCCTAAACCCTGAGACCGACTTGGGTGGGGGTGGTTCTAAGAATTTGGAACCAAGCCCTACCTTGTAATATATTGGGTAGGGTCATTTCAAGGCCGATACCAGGTTGGTTTCATTTGGTTCTAGGTAGAACCTACCCATTTGTTCACCCCTATTAAATCCTACATTTAAGATGTTTACTCCATTGTCTCTCATTAGATTCTTCATTCGAGGTATTTTTGTTTCTCACCAAGAAATTCTACTAAGTAAATATTTGATAATTTTAATAATATGAAATCTATGTACTTAAAACCAACATGAAAGCAAATCCATCCATCCATCCAAGTGACAAACAAATAGTCCAACTGTCTAGGTCAGATGGGCCATTATTTCATGATATGTTTTTTCTTTTCGCCCCAAACATTCCTTGGAGTTGTGGACACCATGGAATATTATTAATAATTAAATGAAACCTAGGAGGGGGATATAAGATCCTTACTGTTGGATTTTAATCTCATAAGAGATTAAATCCAATGGGTTTGATTGGTCAATTACATGAGAAATTGCACCTACACACTTGATTGAAAAATTATCTTTTCTCTTGCAAAACCCAGTTTTGAATTTGTCCCACATTGGAAAATTATAAGCTTTGTTTTCAGTATTTTAATAGGAGCTGATTTACACTCCTTAGAAATAGCAGAGGAGAGTATGGGGGTTTGATACCGAGCAACGCGCGCGCATGCGTGTGTGCGCGTGTGTGCGGTGCAATGAGGCGCTTTAGAGGCGCACTTTTCTCACACCTGCGTAGCTCGCGAAGGGCGGCTTTTGTTTTGGAGTGATGCTGACCGTTGATCACTGTTGATGATCAAGGTGCCTTCTCTGAACCAGCACATACCTTCTCTTCATACCTCCTCATAAACTATTTAAGGAGCATGAATCAGACTCCAAAAATGCACATTTTTCGAAATCCACTTTCTCTCTCTCTCTCAGTCCGGTCTGCTACAGTCTCATAGAAGGTTTCTCCAGAGATTCTTCAACTTTGTTGGTTTTCGATTCTCGCCCAAGGCTCTGTTGTATCCTGGGAACGCATTTGTTTGTAACCCAACAACAAACTCGGTGAAATTGAGTGGGGGCAAATAACGTTCTAAAGGCAGTGTCTTCATGTTAGACAGTCTTTGTATGCCCTTAGCTCCAATCAGAATGATGTACTTTTGACATTTATTGTAAACGAATAAAGTGCATATTTGATTCATGTTCTTATAGTTTGTTTTTGTGTTATACACTTAAACTGGACACTTAATGAGACTCGTGTTACTTTAGAATGTTCACAGCCAGTGGGTCGGTCTGGGGAGACCTATCCTGATAAGGCTGGCACTGTTGTGCCACCAAAACGGTTGGGGTGGCTTGTCTCAGCCGCCAAGGTGAGACCCAAGGCACATGCAGTGTGGAATTAATTGAATCTTTGAACCGGACTAGATTTCCAGTATTGCCCTGGACCTTGGAGATTAATGGGCAAAACTGGAAAGTTACACCTGACCCCTAGACTCGATTATGATACTACACTATGTGTCAAATTGGCCTGTCTTTGATATACCAATCAGTGAGATCCTTAGCAGGGGTCAAAACCTAGGTGTGTTGGGACAGTCTGAGAATTCATCTGAGTGGGTGATCATAGTGATAGGATTAGCCCCTTTGTCGGACAAAGGTAATGATCGGGGATGCACTCTC